CACTCTCATTCCCTCCAAATCATTATCCACCAGTTCTCCATCCAATGCCATTAAAAGATCTCCATTATCAAGGCTGGCATCAGTCCAGAGGGACAATGGCATCTAAGAAGGAGCAACTAGTGCAGTCTTTCCATATTATCCACATTTCAAAACTAAATGTATTTGTCGCTGAGGTGAACTGATTGGTGGTCTTTATCTGTACACACCTTGTACTCTTGTGATCGGGGTGAGTGTCTAATCTTCATACTGAGCGAGATGCCCATTGAGGCTGTGTGCCCATTTCAGTGATTCAGGTGGATGCCCAAGATCCGATAACTGCTGGTGTTTTGACCAGAACTTCTCTTGATCATAGAACATAGAACAGAACGTAGAACAGTACAGCACAGCACAGGCCCTTCGGCCCACGATGTTGTGCCAAACTTTTACCCTAAACCTAAGGTCTACCTAACCTCCACCCCTACGTTATACTGTCATCCATATGGCTATCTAATAGCCGCTTAAATGCCCCTAATGAGGCTGACTGCACTACCCTGTCCGGCAATGCATTCCACGCCCCGACCACTCTCTGAGTAAAGAACCTACCTCTGACGTCTCCCCTATATCTACCTCCACTCACTTTAAAGCTATGCCCCCTCGTAATAGCTACCTCCACCCTAGGAAAAAGTCTCTGGCTGTCTGCTCTATCTGTACCTCTGATCATCTTGTACACCTCTATCAAGTCACCTCTCATCCTTCGTCATTCTAAAGAGAAAAGCCCTAGCTCTCTCAACCTGTCCTTGTAAGACCTTCCCTCCATTCCAAGCAACATCCTGGTAAATCTCCTCTGCACCGTTTCCAATGCTTCCGCGTCTTTCCCGTAATGAGGCGACCAGAACTGGACACAATACTCCAGATGTGGCCGAACCAGGGTTTTGCATAGCTGGAGCATAACTTCACGGCTCTTGAGTACTCTATCCCTCTATTGATGAAAGCGAACACACCATTCGCCTTCTCAACAACTCTATCCACCTGGGTGGCAGCCTTCAGGGAACTGTGGACATGAACCCCGAGATCCCTCTGCTCCTTCAAAGCCACAAAAGAATGAGTTAACATTTTGCTCATGTGCACAGTATCTGTGTACCACTTGTCAGTAAGGTTACACAGTGACAGTGTCAGAAGTCACACAACACCGGGTTGTAATCCAACAGGTTTATTTGAAATCTCACAAGCTTTCGGAGCGCTGCTGACGTAAAGGCTGTGCTTCGAAAGCTTATGTGATTTTAAATAAACCTGTTGGACTATAACCTGGCGTAGTGTGACTTCTGACTTTGTCCGCCCCAGTCCAACACCGGCATCTCTACAACACAGTGACAGTGTTCCAATTGTTGGGATGGTTACACAGTGACAGTGTACCAATTGTTGGGATGGTTACACAGTGACAGTGT